TATTTATTTATGTATGTATGCATATGGATATTCAATTCTGCTTCCACCACTTTAAAAAGCTGTCTTTCCCCCACTGAACTGGCACCTTCGTAGGAAATCAACTGACTGTAAATGTGCAGAGGTTTTTCAGTTTTTGGTTGTTTTTCTTTTTCTTTTTTGGACTCTCTCTTCTGTTCCAGTGATCTACGTCTATCTTTGTAGAAAGGGTAAGCATGGACTTGTGAAAGCTTTGTTTAGTTATATACACTAGGTTACTGGTAAAATGTTGCTTACTGAGGATAATGGTAAAAATATTTTCTTGAAAAATATTTGTCCAGGCAGTGCCACATAACATTCATAATAAGACATCAAAAAGGGGGTTCTAGAAGAGGCTGTTAGGACCCCAAAGATCCTGATGCAGAATGCAGCATCATTCTTTGCAGAAAGGGAAACAGTTACCTAAAGTTTTGCCCAAATGCAAACCCCGGTGCCTCTCCTGGAAACCCCATCCTCCCACTGTGCCAGCTGTCCCGCCCCGCTCCTGGGCAACTCTTTAAGCTGTTTCCACCTCTTCTCCCTCCACTGAGGTCCTACCGGCAGCAGCTGGGAGCCCACGTGGGCGTGCATCTGGACAGGGTGCCCAGGTATCCTGTCTCCCCTCTTCTCCTCAGCCTCCCCTTGGAGACTCCCTGGAAACAGTCTTCTCAGGCCCTGCACTGCCCCAAGATGACTGTTCCCTGTGGTCCTGCCCCTCCCTTTCCAGGGACAGTGGAGCTGGCTTTTCTTCAGGGACACTTCTCAGAATGGAAAAAAGAAAGCAGCACCATCGACGTCAAGTGGCTCTTACTCAACAGCAGCGTCTTGCTGAGAATCGTGTAAAGAACTCAGAAACATATGGATCGAATTTCCCTCAACTTACCCAGGAATGCAGTAAGTCAGGGCCATGGAGGAGGGCTGCCACTTGGTGGTAGCACTCAGAGCACTTGAAAGAGCCATCCCTCCCACTACTCCCCAAGGACTTCTTACCCTGGAGCTGTCCCATCCCTCTCAAGTTCCAAGGGCTCCTACCCTCAGCCAGGCACAGGCCCGCTGGGCTCTGTCCCTCCCAAGCTGGGCCTGGTGGTGATGGCCGCATCCCAGGCAGCTCCCGGCTGCCTCCTTCAGAGGAACACTGTGCCTCCAACCTCACAGGCTGGGCAGGGTGTCTGCTCATTACTTCATTCATTCCTCTACTCATTCAACTAGTGTTTATCGAGCCCCGTGGGAGTAGGGGTAAAACATAACAACGAACAAGACAGCACAGTCCTTCTCTCCTATCTTGTGAAAGAACTTTCCAGCCTCCACATTATCGAGCCTTTTGAATAGGGGTGAGTTCTCAGCTCTGGCAGCATTCAAGCAGAAGTTGATAGAGACTCCGGGAGGATGGGCGGCTGACCTCCCAGATCTCTGCCAAGTACTAGTTTCCATGAGGTTGTAGATTCCTGGAACAAGGCCATAGTTCCCCTCCGCCCCACTAATGGTAGTGGGTGTGTAGAAGCAGCAGGTACCCATCTTTCCTGAAGAGAAAACCAGTACCATTCTTATTCACTTTATTTTCTGCCTTTGTCCCTTCAGAAGAGAACTGAGAACTTTCTCCTGAAAGAGGATGAACCTGAAGAATAAAACAAAAATACTTAAACAAGCATTAAAATTCTGGATAAAAAGTTCCTATTGGGAAAACTGCATGACGGACACACAGGAACTCTGTTGTTTCTCTTCCTGCTTTGTGAACGGCACATTCTTGTGTGAAAGTGCAGGGCAGGGGAAAGCGAGACAGGGAAAGATGCTGTTCACAAGTCCACTCCTGGGCTGGTGCCAGGTATGGGATGTGTCATTTCTCATAACCAAATGCAAATCTACAACTACCTCAAAATAAAAACGTTTAATTAAACTCCCTAAAAGTTCTTGATAATTAGACTATAAATGTGCAAGATGTTACTTTTAGTGGAAAGAGAGTGATGAGTGTGAGGGAACTTTCCTGTAAATCTGAAATTACTTCAAAACAAAAAGTTTAAAAGCAGGGGCAGAGTGCTGGGTGAAGAATTAGTAGACACTGACTTTGTACGTAACCCTGGGAAAATCCTTTGTCCTCTCCGACCCTCGGTGTCCTCATCTATAAAATGAAGGTGTTGAACAAGGCCCTCTTCACGGATATGTCACACCCCTCCTGTGGTCCACTCTGTGGCCCTGCACCTGTGTGACCCCCACCCTCTTCTCTTCACCTTTTCCCCAGCCCAGCATCTCAGGTTCCCCATCTGGGTTGCAGGGAAAAACAAAATGAACTCTAAAAAATTGTGAAAGTAATTATGAAAGGACCCAGTGGATGCCAAGTGCGCTAAGTCAGAGTTCCACCCCCCCTCCCCCCCATCCTCACCCCCTGACCCCTGAGCAGACACAGCTCTCAACGGCAACTTGGGAGGTTCTAACTTAGCTGGGCGGGAAGCTAAATGGAAAGGTCGGGTCCTCAGTTGTTTCCCCAGAACGATGGTTTCCACATGTTGGATGCTTCTGATTACCTGGGGAGCTGGTTCAATCACAGGTTGCCGGCCCCTCCCCCAGAGCTCTCGTTCAGTTGGTCTAGGGCAGGACTTCAGAGACATGTCTCTCTAGCAGGTTCCCAGGTTCTCTGCAAGCTTAGAGGACAACACATGTTCCACATTCCAGAGGGAAAGCAGACTTGCTCGGGAGTTGGGCTCTCAGGGCTGGAGCCAAGGAGGAGAAGGAAACAAAGTCCTGGGGGAGGGTGACCAAAACAAGGGCATCTGGAGATCAGAGTAGGGACCCCTCTCAAGATGGGTAGAGGGAGGAGTTTGCTGCTCCAGTCTTTCCTCTTTTTTCCTTCCTTCCCACCAGAAATGAAGCCTCACAACCTCCTTTCTCCCACCCCTGGGAAGACGGCAGGGCCAGGTGAGGTCGGGCTTGGGCTGAGGTGCTGGCTGTGAGGGCTGAGGGAGAGAAAGACAGGAGCGCAGAAAATTTTCCAAAGCCCGGGATGCAGAATCTGGGAGGGAGTTGAAAACTCAGTCAATTCCAGACTGGTTGGTTGAGTGAATGCTCCTGGGTGGTTTGGGGGAGCCACATTGAAGCAGAAGGTTGCCTATGGCTGTGTTCTTCAACGCCCATGTGCTCCAGTAGACAGTGAGGTGGAAGACAGAGAAGAGCCAACTTTTATTAAGGACTCAGGTTAGTGCCCAGCCCTGGGCTGAGCACCGTATGCATTTTATCTCCATGAAGCAGGCATTATCCCCAGTCACACGCAGTAAGTGTTTCCAGGCTGCACAGGTGCTCACACCTGCTGATGCCTGACTTCCACCCCTGATCTCTCCACTGGTTGGAAGGCTCTGTCATCTCCCAACAAGCTGAGTGACTTGGACCAAATCAATTTTTCGGAGCCATAGTTTTTCTTCCAGTAACAAAAGTTGATGGCAAATATTCCCCAAAGAGTTTTAAGGAATACACAAAACAGTAAGGTGGAACAGCTGGGTAAAATGCAGGTTGCTGGGTGAGGCTCCACCACCCACCTTAAGGTTAATAATAATGAACAAGGCCTTTGATGCCCACAGGGTAACCACCTAGCAGTCTTATGTTTGGTCTGGGCACCACTGGGTTAACATTTTCGTCCTGCTTTAAATAAAACCCTTACCAGTGTGATATTTTAATATCACTGATTCCAAAACCATTATACCATGGAGCCAGAGTTTAAAAAGAATTTAATCCAAAACCAAAACATGCCCAGTAGCAATATTTGTTTGATAAGTAATTTTGTTACCGAACAACAAGAGGAGGTCCGAGGGAGGGGCAACACAATATTTGGCCCACCTAGGGATGCCCAAAACTGCTATACAACAGGGGCCCCTCCCAAAAACAGAATACTAAAATCTACTGGGCCCTTCTGTCCGCCGCCAATTGGAAAGACATCTCTTAATGTCAGAGATTTGTGAAAAGGAAACAAAATGTTTATTTAATGCTATTCAGGCCTAATGCCACCACTAAAATATCAAAGTCCTTTAGGTTGTACACCCACACCCACACAGCACTCCCTTCTCCCACCATCCCAACTCCGGGTACCGTAAATCAGGAAAAGAGCACACGTCTGTGTTTCAGACCGCTGGCACCGTCAGCTGTGTCACTGTGCAGGATCTCGAGTTAATCCAAAGTACTGTGGTACCCTCTCATGGTCCATTGGCAAGAGTCCTTTGTACCCAGTTCCAGTCAAAGTCTCTCCTGCTTTCCAGGCTCCGCGGCCAAAGGGGGCACCCCAAAGCCGCGTGGGCCTCTTCTACCAAAGCTGCAGGAGTCCGCACTCCACCAAAAGCATGTGGCTGTCTTCTTCACCTGGCTGCAGGGATCTCCATTCTGGCAAAGCTGCATGGTTTTTCCCTTTCACCTGGGAAAGAGGGGGTCCGCACTCTGCTGAAACCGCATGGCTCTCTCTTTCACCTCACCAAGAGGGGGTCCTCACTCTGCTGAAACCGCGTGGCTCTCTCTCATCTGGCCAAGCGGGGACCCTTCATGTCCTGGAGCCAGTCTTTTTCAAGCTCTCACACAGGCCTTCTCACTCAGGAGCGCAGCCCCTAGTTACATCCTCCTGAGTCCCAGTCTTTCTCACTCCGGAGAGCAGCCCCTAGTTCCCATCTTGAGTCCTCCTAGTTCCATCCTCAGTCCCTGCTAGTTCCATCTTGAGTCCCTGCTAGTTCCTTCTCTCTGGCTCCAAACTTGGCCACTGCTATTTAACATATCTATGAAACCAGTTAAAGGTTATAGATATGTTAAATAATCATTCCAGAGGTTAGCTGCAAAACTGTTGCTATGCAAAACAGCTCTCAATGGCCTGGCTCCATTCATCCCTTCCCCCCGGGGGGGGGGGGGCGGTAAGGACATCTTATATGTCTCTCCAATATTTCTATACACTTTGAATTCTGGACACCTTTCTAAATCTGTTTTTTTTTGCCCCCCCCCCCCCCCCTGGCTGCACCCTGTATCAATTTCTCCTTCAAGTTCTAACTTGGTGCAAAATGTATTTTTGGCATATTTCATTTTGTTGTGTGTGATATATAATATCTTCACTATATCTCTGTACAGAATCCTGAAATATTCAGAAAAACAATGACAATAATAATAATCCTTTTCAGGTTTACTGCACCAAAGGGTAGACAGAACAGCAACTCATGTCTCTTCATTATAGATGAGGAAACTGGCCCAGGCAACTTACAAGAGATGCTCAAGTTCTTAGAGCTCCATCCATCCATCCAGAGAGCATGGGTGCAGACCCAGGGCTCTTTGTGTTGTACCATAATGCTTATATTGAACACTTGAGGAAAGAGCATAACAGTCTACCCAATACCATCTACCCAGCCCCACCCCAAATCAATCAGGTCTCTTTTCATATGAGTGTGTTAGTCATAGGAAATGTCCGCCTAGAATCAAGACTATGTCAGAGTTGGAAGGGGCCTTGGAGATTACCTAAAGATTGATACAAGGCATAGATGTTCTGAGAAGTCAAGAGAAAAGATTAAGATCACCCTGCCAGAGGGACTAGGAGTCTCATCCCACTGTCCTCAGTACAGAGGAATATGAAGAGAAGGTGTTCATTCAACCAGCCCCAGAACTCCTTCGAGGAGAAGATGCTGGGAGGCTTCCTGGAAGAGGTAACAAATGAGAAATTCAGAGGGCTTTACATGTATGTTTGCCCTACATCTCCTTGATTGTCCAGGAAAACCCAAAGGGGTGGCCTGGAAAGGTATTATTATTATCACTGTATTGCAGAGAAGGGAGCTGGGGCTCAGGGAAGAAAACTTATTTGTCATAGTTTACACCACCCAAAAGAGTGGTGAGGGCTGGACTAAACCAGAATCCTTTGTTCCCTGTCTCACTACCAGTTCAGCCATGTCCCTGAGGATATGTGGGAAAGGCTCCTTCATGTGCTGTAAGTTCCCATCCTGCCCCACCCCCACCCCCGGTGGCTGATTTTATAGACCTTTTCTCAGGCTCTGGGAATGACTTTGGGGTGGTGGTGACTAGCCATGACTGACGCACTGTGTTGTGGAGCTTCATTGATTGCATTTTCTATAAGCACATCTCTGGGGTGTTGTAAGGACTCACAGGGCTTCAGAGTTTCTGGTTAAGATCATTTTCCTAGGAAGAGTCTGTAATGACTCTCAAATGACTTGATTTTTTTCTCAGTAGTTGGTATTTTAGTATGGCACTTAGGTCAGTTTAGGCAAAGATTTTCTTGATACATCAGCAAAACATGCTATATAGAAGAAAAATGGATAAATTGTACTGCATTAAAATTTTTAAAAATTTTCTCTGCAAAAAACATTAAGATAACAAAAAGACAAGCCATGGAGTAGGATAAAATATTTGCAAATCATACCTCTGATGATGGAATTGTGTATATAATGGACTCAGTATACATAGCTAACTTAATTAGAAAACAAATAATACAACTTTTAAAATAGGCAAAAAGTTTGAATAAACACTTTACAAAAAAGGATATAAGGGTAAAAAATAAACACATAAAATATTCTACTTATTAATCATTAGGGGAATGCAATTAAAAACCAATGAGATACCCCTACATACATACATATAATTGGCTATGTTTCTTTAAAAACTGACCTGATTCAGTATTAGCAAGAAAATGGTACAACTAGAACATTCACTCACTATTGGTAGGAATGCAAAATTGACACAATCACTTTAGTAAACTGGCTGACAGTGTCTTAAAACATTAGACATACATCTCCCCTATGATCCAGCCATTTCAGTCCTAGAGATGGACCCAAGACAAATAAAAGCATAATTCCAAACCAAGGTATTTATGTGAATGTTCACAGCAGCTTTATCTGCAATAGCTGGAACCTGGGAACAACTCATATGCTTATTAACAGGTAAATGAATAAATAAATTATGGCACATGACACATGCAATATGGGTAAATTTCAAAGTAATGATGCTGAGTGAAAGAAGCCAGGCAAAAATGAGTATATATTGTATGATTCTATTTGCATAAAATTCTAGAAAGTGCAAACTCATATAGACTGACAGAAGCAAGATCAGTTCTTTTCTAGGGAAGGAGGGACAAGGTGGAGCAACAAGGAGAGATTACAAAGAGATACAAGAAACTCTCAAGGATGATGAATATGCTCATTATTGGGATTGCAGTGATGGTTTCATAGCTGTATGGATATTTTAAAACTTACCAGATGGTACACTTTAAATTTGTGTAGCTTATTTGATATCAAATACTCCTCAGAAAAGCAAGTCTGAAAAATAAAATAACATGAGCTACTGAGAAAGTAGAACAGGTGAAAGAAGAGTATTTCTTAACTGGTGAATAAAAATAATTTCCTGGTGAATCCTCTATGAGAAACAGTATGGGGTTTCCTCAAAAATTTAAAGCTAGAACTACCTATGACCCAGAGATTCCACTTCTGGGCATTTATGTAAAGAAACCCAAAACACTAATTTCAAAAAAAATATGTGTATCCCTTTGTTTATTGTAGCATTATTTACAATAGCCAAGATATGAAAGCAACCTAAGCATCCATCAAGAGATGAATGAATTAAGAAGTGGTATAAATATACAATGGACTACTACTCAGCCATAAAATACTGCTCAGCCACCTTTTGCAACAATATGGGTGCACCTGAAGGGTATTATGCTGAGGGAAATAAGTCAGACAGAGAAGACAAATGCCATATGCTTTCACTCATATGTGGAATCTAAAAAACAAAATAATGAGCAAACAAAACAGAAACAGACTCATAGATACAGAGAACAGACTGATGGTTGCCAGAGGGGAGAGAGGTTGGAGGGCTGGGTGAAAAGGGGGAAGGGAGCAGGAAGCACAAATTGGCAGCTACAGAACAGGTGTGGAGATGTAAAGTACAGTGTAGGAAATATAGTTGATAATATTGTAATAACCATTCATGGTGACAGATGGGTACTAGGCTTATCAGGGGATTACTTCACAAGTTAAATAAGTATCTAACCACTGTGCTGTGCACCCGAAAATAACACAAAGCAATACTGAATGTAAACCGTAATTGAAAACTAAAATTTTAAATAAGTGCAAAAAAATAAACAAATTTGCCTGAGGCATAGCCAGCTTTCCTGAGAGTAGTGTGTATATGGGTGTGAAGTATTTTTATTTTAAAACTCTTTTAACAGCTTTTGAAGAGCTAAAACTCTTCAAAACAGCTTTTGAAAAAGTTGTTGTCACCCAGGTTTGCTGTGTTGTGACAACTGAAGTGTTCAAGTTTGTCCTGCGGTTTGGCCTGAGAGTGCTACCCCCACCACAAGGCCCATGTGCTCCACATGCCGCTAAGCTTCAGCCAAGACCAGCTCCAGGCCAGGAGGTCCTTCCTGCTCTTTTCCCACTGCTTCAGTCTCATCACATCTTTCCCCGGCCTGGGGGTGGTGTGAGATTAGGAGGCCTGGGTACTTAGATGTCATTGGCTCCCTGGTTATTCTCCAGCCTCTCACCAACTTGGTTCCACCCCCCACACTGCTATCAAACATAAACTTTATAAAACACTATCTCGTATATTAACCTCCATTTTAAAAGCTTTTCATCTCCCCATTGCCTAAAAATTCAAGGATCCTCAATCCTTTCAAGATTCTGGATCAGTGGTAAACTTGCCTCATCTAGCCTGGCACTGAGCTCCCAATGCAGTGACATACACGTTAATGTCTAGTATTCCAGATGCCATCATGGTCTTTCATACCTGCATGAACTCACATACCTCTCTTGGTTCCCTTGGTCTTTAATGGTATTTTTTTCCCTCATCTGTCTGTAGAACTTCCCCTTATTTAACCTTTGAAATCTTGTTTAAATGTCAGCTTCTCTGGGAAATCTTCCCCGATCAACTACCATAGGAATAAACACTACTTTGTTTCTTACACATACTTTAAGTTATTACATGTGTCAAATTATACAGCAAACATCTGTCTTCTTGTGTTATTTTTCACTACAATAATTCAAGGATCTCAACAATATTTTTGCACCTTTGAACAAATAAATGCTTTTTAAAATACATGAGAGGTTTAACTAATCTTTAAAAATCCATGTCATTCTCAAGACAGGTAAACATACAATTGCATCTGTAATTGCAAATTGTGGTGAGTGATATGTAGGAGGAGAACAAAGTTCTATGAGAGAGAATAATTTATAGTCTCAAAGTTCTATGAAAGGCCTAATTTATACAAAGTAGTCTACAAGTCATGGTGATGTGGTATTTAAGTTGAATAGAATGAGTACAAGTTAGCTAGTGAAGAGTCAGTGTTTTCAAATGATGGGCTATATAACCTGGATTTCAACATGTGGAAATTCCCCATTCCTATACCCAATTCATAGAAATAATGAGAAAAACATAGAAATGAGATTAATAAAGGAAGAGCTGTGCTCAGAGTAGAGAAAAGGAATTATCTGTGGATGAGAAAATGGGAAAGTCTGTAAAAGGAGGGCAGGAGAGGAGAAGCTACCTGTGACAGGGAGCTGAGGCTGCAGTAGGAACCCATCCTGACCATGCAGAAGCCTTTGTGATCTCACTGGGAAGCTGGAAGCTGACTCTCCCAATTGCAGGGGAGAATATAGAGGTAAAATAGCAGTCCCATGTAACAGAATTGTGTCAGTCAGGATAGGCTAGATTATCTGCAGTAACAAAGAATACCAGAAGTTCAATGGCTTCCAATAGCAATTCTTTCTAACTCATACAAAGTCTGCCATGGTCCCAGGCTACTCTTCAGGGCAGCTGTTCTCCACATGTTGACTCAGCCCTGCAGGCTACTTCAATCTCATGACACCTCATGTCAACATGAGTCAGGTTCAAATGCTATTCTAAGACATTTTTATTTTATTCTGTAAACAAAGGAACACTCTGGAAAGTCTGGCAGAGAAAAAGAACAAATAAAACTTGTATTTTTATTAGAGTGGAACTGAAAGCAGAGAAACCAATTTAGGAGGTTGTTGAAATAATCCAGTGAGACCAAATGAAGCCCTCCACAAATGCAAGAGCATGGGGAATGGCAGACATGCATGACGATGGATTTGATAGATATTTATATGTAAACAATAGGGCATTGATTGATGGCATATGAGAAGAAAGAGAAATATAAATCAGGGTGACAGTAAAACACCTGGCTTTGGTTTCTGAGTTGATGGTGATTCATGAACACAGTTGGTGCAGGAGAATGAGCAGGTTGGAAATGAAAAGATAACAACCTCTGTCCACTGTAACCCTCAGATGAAGGTGGGAGTAGACATTTGATTTGTGCATGAGAAACCATGGGAAGGTTTGGGGGTAAAAAATAAGTTTCTAAATGAGCACTATGTAACAGTATTTAAAACTATAGTGGTAGAGTATATGAGAAATATTCAGAAAGAATAATTAAAACTGTGTTTCTGAGCTTCCTCACCTCACAGAGGGCATTAAGCATCAGAAATTATATGCCCAACTTTAAGAATATGTGAAGATTTAAATTTTTCTTAGAAGACCCATTTTACAAATGTTTATTAAGATCTTACTATGTACAAATCAAAGACACAATTCTTGGTACAAGGAATACAGCAGTAAACAAAAAGTATGAAAAAATGTGTCCACCTGGAGACTGAGTTATTCTAATGGGTGAAAAGCAAGCAACAAACAAATAAATAAATAATTAATTAAAATAAATACTATTTTAGGTGGTGATTATTGACATAAAGGAAAGTAAAACAGGATATGGGTATAGCAACTGTGGGAGGGACTAGAATTAGTAGAGCAGTGGTTGGGCAGGAACTCACTGAAAAGGTGACACATTTAGAGAGAACCAAAGGAGCTGAGGGAGTGAACTCTGAGGGTTTTGGGTGGGTATTCCAGACAGAGAGGACCTAGCTTTCATTAGCTAGATTCTCAGTGATTCACCAGAAAAATGAAAAATGATTCCTCTGAAGTAAGAAGAGGGCTAAGAAACAGGTAGCAAAAAATAATCTAGTAAAGAATGCTGGTGATTGGTTGTGGGGTTCAGAAAATATGTAAAGCCAAAAGAATCTGATCGATTGGAAGAAAATGGAGTGGGGTCAAGTGACTGGATGTGTTGGTAAGGTTGAAGTCTAACTATTGGGTTATTGAAGGAGCCACAGATCTACAAAGAAGATGGTGGTCAAAGAAGAGGGTATAATGAGTTTCAGATTTCAGAGGTGGATATGGCTGTGGGTATAGTGCATGGCTAAGTTGAAATAGGAAAAGTCATTGTTGAGGATGAGGTTGTCAAGGATCAACATCACTCAGGACACCAGGAGAAAATGGAAAGGAAAAGTAAGCAAGGTGCTCTGTACTTGACATCTTAATGAAAAGAACAAAAGATAGGAGTAAGAGGTTGGAAGGTCATTCATAGAGATGAGTCTGGTGTGCCAGAGTGATAAAAGAGCAGGGGAATTTGCAAGGAAAGTGGAAAAGTAATGGTCAGAAAATATCCACAGGGAGTTAGAGAAATGAGAGCCCTGACTTCTCCGTGGTCTGAGTCCTGTCCCCTGCGCTGTCTCAGCTCAGTTCTTCATTTGTTTTTTAAGGCCTGTTCAACCCACCCTGTGGTTTGATCCACTTGATCCATGGGACCTTAGCATCTGAGAAACCTCTGAGAGAGAGAATATTGACTATGAATGGAGAGCAACTATAATAGATACAAAATGGATTTAGGCGAGCAAAGGTAAGGGACGTGTGTATGGTGTATTAGTTTCCTAGGGCTGCCATAACTAAATGCCATAAACTAGGTTACTTAAATTGCAGGAATTTATTTTCTCACTGTTCTGGAGGCTGAAAGTCTAAGATCTTCAAGGTGTTGGCAGATTTGGTTTCTTTAGAGACCTCTCTCCTGGGCTCACAGATGGCTGCCTCCTTGCTGTGTCCTCACAAGGTCATCCCTCTGTGTTGTCTGTGTCCTAATCTCCTTCCTATGAGAACATCAGTCATATTGGATGAGGGTCCACTCTAAGAATCCCCTTTTAATGTAGTCATATTTTTTAATTTCCTGTATCCAAATACAATCATATTTGGAGATACTAGGGGTTAGAACTTTAACATATTAATTGGGTGGGGCATAATTCAGCCCCTGAAAAATTATGTATGTTTCAAGTTCTTAAGAACCCCAGGATTCTCTCTTATACATCATCTTCCCCAACATAGCCATGAAGAGAAATAATCAAACAATAAACCAGGTACCCTGTGTTACCAGCTAGGCTACTATAAGGTTCACAGAGTCAAGCTCTTCAGTAAAGATTGGTTAGATGACAAGGCTCTCTTTGGTCAGAAGTTCAAGTAGACTATCCCCACCTCCTGCTAGTTTAAATCTTAATCTTCCCTCCTCCCATCCTTTGGCCAGGCCCATGAGAAACAAGGTCAAAGAGAAAGCCAGAATTACCTAAAAGGAGCTGGTTCCAAGTTTTTGTTTTCACTGAATGAAATGAGGCAGAAAGCAGAAGTTGGTGTGTGTGCCTGGTTGACTCATTTTCACTGCTCACTAGTAAAATTAGACTCTGGTTAAGGGAAGAAGGAGGAAGACAATAGAAATCAAGTTAGGCTGAGAGGTGGGAAAAGGAAGGAGGAATTCCCTCTTACATAGATGACAAGGAGGTTCTATAACCCATAAGCTTGATGGCAGCTAAGAATACATGAAGATTTTGCTCCTCAAGAGAAGTCAGAGCACCTTAGAGAACCTCTTCACTTTACAGTACTGTATGGTAGAGAGCCAGGCTGTGTTGGCCAGGCAAGGATCTTCAAAAAAAGTTTTTGTTTAAAATACTTAGCCTGAAATAGACTGGTCTATAACCAGGGGTCAAGTCAAGAACGTGTATAAAGAACCCTTGGACAAAGACAATGTGGGGGGAATGATTGAATGTGGGGCAGGAGTAGGGCAGAGGAGAGTAATGAGGGAAAATGGGAACAACTGTAATTGAACAACAATAAAAACAAAAATTTTAAAAATGGAAAAAAGATTGAGGGCTATGGAAATCTGAGTTCACAGTCTCAACCTCACCATGTAATTTCTATGCAACCCTGCACAATGCATATCTCTCCTCAGGAACTAAGTTACTTCTTCTCAATATTATTAATCATGCATATAAAATAGAGGTGATAATTTATGGCATCTACTGGCTATTCTGAAAATAAAATGAGTCATAACAGTGAAGCATTCTTCTTGGGAGACCTTTTTCTGTTTTGACTTAGAGGTCACCCTCTTTTTAAAACTACTTTAGGATCTTCTAAGCTTCCACCTGGTCTTAATAGTAATGCAATAGATATCATTCCACACACGGAGACAGAGATGCCATGAAGTGTTTGAGTAGGAACATACTTAAAAAATAAAGCAAAACTCCTAGTCTAACATTATCAGTGTGAATTAGAAACTTGAAACTCAGGAGGGAAGATGAAAAGCTCAAGGCTTCACATTGGGTTGGAGCAAATGTGGCCTCCATTCCCGGCACCTGGACTCACTGGCCAGTCCTCTTCCCCGGGAGTCCACCCTCCAGACTGATGATTCCAACACAGTCATTTGCCTGTACAATTTGTTTCGTATACATAAGTACCACCTATATTATTATTTTTAAGATTTTTTATTTAAACTGAATTTGGATTTATTTTTCAACTAAAATCCATGTACTTGAAAACATGGTACTGCCACAAATATAAAAATAATGAATAAAAAATGTTGAATTCTAGCCTCCACAAGACTCTGAAACTGACACACCAGGTAAAAAGGAAAATAGTGGTCATGGCAAAATGCCCCGCCTTGAGATTCTCTTCTTTACGGCATCAGGAGTGAAGGAGAAGTTTAAAAGGCGGGACTTTTTGGACATATGATGGAGATGGACATTGAGGGTTGACCCATACAATCCCCATTCCCAGCCCCTGTCTTTACTGCCTATCAAATTCTTGAAGTTAGCAGTGGCTGTAGAATTTAGCTATGGCCTGTGAGGCATAAAGAAAAGCATCCCAATGCTACCTTTTCCTCTTTTTTTTTTTTCTGCTTAGACACCTACATCTGGAGTTACTGTAGCCATTTCGTAAGCATGAGATGACAAGCACGATCATAAAAGTCCAAATTCTAAGCCTAGCAGAACAGAAAGAAAAAAATATTGAATAACTGCCCCAGAACTACCTCCTCCCTTCTTGCTATGTAAAGAAAACAAATTCTATTTCAGCATTAGTCAAGGTTTCTCTTATTACTTACCAAACAGAATCTTAACTGGTCTGTTTGTTAATTCCATGTATATGGCACCCCAGATAAGCTTGACACTACTGGTGGTACGTCTTTCATGCTTTGGGAGACCCTTCTGTAAGAGAGCCTGTACTGGTTTGCAAAAGCTGCCATAACAAAATTCTGCAGATTGAACAGCTTAAACAGCAGAAGTTACTTTCTCACAGTTTTGGAGACTAGAAGTTCAAGATCAAGGTGTTCTTTTGAGGCATCTCTCTTTGGCTCACAGACGGCCACCTTCTTGCTGTCTCCTCACGTATTTGTTTTGTTTTTCCTGTGTTATCTGTGTCCTAATTTCCCCTTATTATGAGGACCCCCGTTAGATTAGATTAGATCCCACACTAACAGCCCTGTTCTAACTTAATCAACTCTTTAAAGACCCTGTTTCAAAACAGTCATATTCCAAGGTACATGGAGTTAGGGCTTCAACACATAAATTTTGGAGGATATAATTCAGCCTATAAAAGAGTCTAAAAGTTTATTTTTTTAATAAAACCTATTTTTTCCTCCCTGGGAACTTGTGGTTACATAACTCGGCTCAGGAATGTTCAAAGTCCACAGGGAGGATCGGGAATTTGCAGATGAGAGGAAAGAGTCTTTAATTTGGGGTCAGGAAGACTGGGCTCTAAATATTGGTCACCCTCTTGCTGACACACTTAGTCTTTCTGAACCTCAGTAGCATGATCTGTAAAGAGATGGGAAAATTACATGTAATAATGTAATGGAACTACCTGGCACATACTGAGAATATTTTATCAAATCCAAAGTCCCAGTAATTATAAGATGCACCATTTGTGTTATATGTGCCCAAAATGGCAAGATTGTGCCATGGGAGTCGTGGAAGTTTTTTAAGTTACAGACTTAGGAGCCCCACCCCAGACTCCTACACAGGAATCTGGGTTGAAGTTCAGGAATTGGTATTTTTTAAATGCCCCAGACTATTCAGATAACCTGATAGGCTCCGAAGCAATGATTTTCAGCATAGGTCAGGTGTTGAACAACTTAAATTTTAATTCTAAGCTGTGCTCTTTGGGGCTATTTATCAGTTTCTTGGATATTCTATAGGAAGCTTGGATTTCAGACTTTGCCAACAAAACCCATTGCCCAGATTCCTTACATTTTCTAACACATTCATGGAATTCCAGAAGGTCCAGTCTCAGGAGATATATGTAATAAATACTTCAGCGGAACATGTAAACTAAGTCTTTCCTAGTAGTAGAAATGCTGTGGCATTGCCTTTCTGTGGAATAGTTTTCTGGTCCCTCACCCTGACTACAACCTGCAGGTGTTGAGCCCACATCTGCCGTTCTATGCTTTTATGATCCTAAATGACATACTGTTAGTTACTCCTTAGTCACTTCTATGCATATTTTAAACTTCTTGGTGAAACTTTAAAAAATGTTCTTAAATATTCTTAAAAAGTATTGTTTTGAAAACCTGCATTTGAATGCTGATTAGTGGGATGCTATTATGACAAGAGTTAAAGCCAGTGTCAAGATTAGAGGGTGACTCTAGATTCTTTGATTGCTTTGTAGGTCATTAGCAATTCACCTGGCCACCTTCACTGTGCCAGCATCCCACAGTCCTCCAGCCCATATTTATATGCGTTCATAATTTCAACAGAGTTCAATCCCGATTTCATAGTGGAGCAAAGTGATGCCTCTCCTCCGCCTCTCCCAGTTGAGAACCCAGGTGACCTGCCCAAGGTTTCGTTCGAGTTAGCCTACCAATATTGAGCCTATGTTCAGACCCCTGTGCTTCCATTCCTCCCACTCCCACATCTATTAATGACACCACAGGGAGTTCTTACCAGGACAGTATCACTAATGTAGTCCAACCCAATGGGAAACTTCCTGAGCCACAACGTTCTTGTTTTCATGCAGATTCCATCAGAGGCTTGGCTGTCACCCAAGAAAGCACATATTAGATCTGCTGTACATTGGCAGAACTTTGGCTTAGAACATATTTCAAATGCCTCGCATTGAACATTGGCAGCCTTGAAAAAACATGGCCAGGAAATAATTACAGGAGCCCCAGTTGCTCTATGACACTTTACAAGGAGAAGCTGATGGCTTTCGCTCCCAAGCTCTCCCCCTCTGCCCTGGGGTAAATGACTACACTTCCCAGTATGTGCCCTAAATTAGGGGAGGCCAGCTGAGCTGCAGCGTGAATGGAGGGAATGTCTTCAATGGGCAGAGCCCTCTGCACAGCACAGTATGCCTTGCGCCAAGTTATGTCTCCTTCAGCTTTAAAACCCTTGTGTATTCCAAGAGAAATGTAGTCCATGTGTTTTTAATTCATTTACACTTAAATCATTAAAATGTTGTTTTGTGAAAGTTATTTGATGTCTAAGGAGGTTGTGAGTCTGCTTAATGGGACTTAAAAATTTTTTTTCTGTTCTGCCTGAAACACAAAAGCAACATTCCGTTGAAACAGTGCCTAAGGACAAACCTATTCTCTCATCCCATGAACTTGTGCCCACATTATCAACCACAGTCTTTTAATAATGCCAGGCTTGGCAATGCTGGTATTTGAATGTGTCAAAATAGAGAAACTAAAGAGAAAATGGAGCAAGGAGAATTTCAGCCAGATTCAAGCAACTGTTCCCTAAAATGTGCAAAGCAAGGTGTAGAGTACATTCGTGTGAAATCTTGGTTAGCACAGGTGGTAGCCATTTATCGAGCACACCCCTAGCTAGCTAGAAAAGCATGTCACAAGTATAATCTCACTTAAGCCCCACAGCAGCCCCCATTTTCTAGATAAGAAGACAGAATTAAAGATGTTAGCACTGTGCCTAAAGTGCACAGCTGGCATTGATAGAAAGGATAGATCACAACCAAATTCTCACTCTGAGTCTAACACTGTTTTCGAAATGCCTTAAACTGAGTTTTCCTGTGAATGTTGTAAGAACTTGAAATGTCATATGCATTGTAATAATGATGCATATAATCAGTCAGAGCTCAGACTTTTCCCTCATTGTTTTCTAGCTGTGTGACCTTGGGTGAATTACTTAACCTCTCTGAGTATTTTCATTATCTATAAAATGGGGATACTCTTGCTACCCACCTATATGAGGTATAAAGATGATCGGAGAGAATTAACACATTGCCAGAATAGTGCTTGACAATAATAGCGCTTAATAAATGTTAACTGTTAGTGGAAATAGCAGTAAGCAATAACAAAGAGCTGGGTAATCTTGTCATGTAAACTTTCTGAGCTTCATTTTCCTCATTTGTGAAGTAAGCATGATGGTATGACCCTCACAAGTTTGTGGGAGCAATTGAGGTGATATTTGTGTATCGCTCTGTGCCTAACATAGAAAAGCTGCTCAGTGAAATCTAGTTTTTACACCCATTTCATTGTTTTTGCCACGAAGGAAGTGCTTTTCTTTTTATTTGGCTCAGAGTAGATGTGGTGCTGATTTTCCCACAAACCTGCAGGCAGACCCGTGCACAGGCCTGGCTCTCCTTGCACCCCGGGGTGTGGGGTGTCCATGCTGTGAAGGACCCTCTCTAGCAGACCTCACACAGTCTGATTTGGTAAACAGCACGAGCTCTGTGTTTCAGTGGGAAGAACAAGGAGCCCAGTGGAGGACCTGTGCTCACTCACATTCTGGACCAGTGGCTCTGCTCACATGAAAACTTGTGGTGTTTGTCCACAGACTTGGGGATTGGGATCTGTTTTCTTTCCTAGCGTAGACTTTAGAAGTGCCTTCTTAGTTGGTTATTTCTGTTTAATCGGTGTCCCTTTGCTGGTGTCCTGAAAAAGAGCAGAAAGCTACAGCCATCTGGAAAGGGAGACTGAAGAGAAATTAGACTTTGTCCCCCTCCACCCCCCCACACACATACATACACACACACAGTGACAAAAATACCTATTTGAGTGTCTCAGTTATTTTCTCTCAGGGACTGAAGCCAGCCACACAGGATAAAGGAGGGAACTGGAGGAACAGATCTCTTAAAGAAGACAGATTCTGTTCTGTCAGGTTCTTCAGAGTGTGTGTAAGAGGGAGTCGGAGCAGAGAGAGAGAGAGAGAGAGAGAGAGAGAGAGAGAAAGGCAGAGTGAGAGAGGGGGAGAGGGGATCTGTTGCAGGCAGGGGAAGGCGTGACCTGAATGGAGAATGCCAGCCAATTCCAGAGACACACAGGGACCTCAGAACAAAGATAAGGCATCGCTGACACATCGGGGACGAGCTCACAGACAGCTCAGGTCGGGGGGACCAGAGGCAGGCAGCCAGGAGCACCCAAGACAGGAAAATGAGGTGAGTGCCAGGGCAGGAGTGGGCATGGGTGTCCCTTCAGGGACCTGCTGTCAAGTAGCCCTGCAGGATCTGACCTTGTCTCTGGGCTAACTCACCTTCGTGTCCTGTGGGTAATACAAAGGGTTTCTTATCAATTCTTGGGGCTCTGAGAGGCTAACGTGGGCTGGAGTGCCTTCCCCGGGACGCCAGAGACATGCAACTTGAAACGGGAGACTTTGTGCAAATCCTGCTCGGGGCTGCTGAGGCTCAGATTTCTCCCCCTGCCAGCGTGGGGTGCTGCCGGCTGGTGAATGTGGCTTTCCTCCTGTTGCCCACAAGGCTCATTTTTTGTTTTCCTCCTCTGCAAAGAGCATTGGTTTATCTCCCCCAACACTTTGTGAGTTAGGTATGTGTTTGTATGTTTATTTGTTCTGACCGGAAAAGAAACCAGCTTCCCACAGCTCAGCTCTGTGGTTTTTTAAACCTGCAGGACTTGGCCAGTTAAAGCCTCAGTTTAAAAAACTAAAACCCTGTCCCCATTTTACAGTTTCCTATGAATTTCTAAATTTCTTACTGAAATCAGAGGCAGCTGGTGGCATGAATCAGGCTACCAATTGCACCAAATGGCTCTTAAAGGGATACCACAATTTTTTTTAAGAAGCCTTTGGAGTTCTGAACCTAGGACTTTAAATTCTAATTCTTTTTATGCTCCTCAACATTTCCTATTCCTCATCCCATAGTTATAGTTACTGGATCCTTTCTACTAGACATTTTTTATAAGTTTTCCTCTGCAAGTCTCAAAACCCTAACACTATAATTATTTTTACTACTTATAAGTGTTAATGCTGTTAAAAATACCCCCCAAAACAGAAAAGAAAAACACTTCAGGTTTATTAGGTTCCTAATCACCTCTTTTGCCATTAATTTTCTTCTCAATTGAAAAAGGGGTTTTGTTTGTTTCTCTTTTGCAAAGTCACCTAGCAACTTTCCCGGTTCTGGGGTCACTGTGGACCCTTGGAACTCAGGTTACCCATAGTTCAGAGGGGTTATCAGGTTTTTAAGGTTAATTCAATCATTCTGTTCTTTTTAAATCCGTTGTAATTTTAGATCTGCCATCTAACTTCATTTTCCTTTCTCCTAAAAGAGAGGAAATTTATGCCATCTCCATGCAATGACGATCTGATTGATCTGTCACTGTTTGAACCCCGCCCTACCACCCAGCGCCTCAGTCATACCAAACTGCAGGGCCCATCAGCAGTTCTGTGTCTTTGTGTTTACTCTTTCCTTAACCCCAAACACCCCTTCCCCTCATTTTCTACCTCAAGGATGGGATTGTCCCAGCGGAGTCAGACATCACCTCCTCTTTCCTAGCCCACCATCCCCGGAGTAAGCATCCCTTCCTTTGTGCTATCTCTCCCCTTTGGGGCTACATCTCTTCCTGTCTTTGTATAAAAGTCTGCCACCCCTTCCAAGGCTGAATGTTTCTTAAAGTACAGAATCTATGTCTTGTTCATATTTGTATGCCCAGTACCTAGCATAATTTCTGTTTTCTATTAGGCGTTCAATAAATATCGGCTGAATTGAATTCGGTTGTTAAATAGTAAAAGTGCTATTGAAAAAATGCTCCACTAGAAGTTCTCAAGGAATCTTGCCTTACATAGAAGGGCATTTCAGAGTTTACAGAACACTTTTTTTATAGACACTGTCTCATCTGGTCTTCAGATTTGGGATAAGGTAAGGATTTATGGAAAAGTGAGGGTAAAAGCAGGTAACAATCTATCCAAAGCCACATGGATGGTTTTTGAAAGGCTCAGACCTAAACTCGGATCTTTGGTTTCCCAGTCCAGGATTTTTTCTGCTATATTCTATCAGACTCTCAACCAAGTGTAATATTCTATACTGGCAGCTCTCACTCCTAACTGCACATTAGAGTCATCTGTAGTGCTTTAAAGTGCCAAGGACTACACCTGACTTCAGACCAATTAAACTAGAATCTGCTGGGCAGGGGCTTTGGTATTGGTATCTTAAATTTTTTTTTCACATAAAGCAATGGTTTTTTGAGTTATTTTTCACAGGATTAATTGCTTTGGCCAGATGCCTGGGTATATGGGCATGGACCCAGCTTCCTCTGTGAGCTTTGGTTATTCCCTTCTTCTGTTGAAGCTAATTCACCATATGGTATTGGGTATGACATGTCACCTCTTGGGGTATCCTTTTCATCATCTGTCAACTAAGGGTGTTGTCAAAGGGATCCATACAGCCCCTTTCAACTCTTCGATTCAGAAACAGTCTGGGTGTAGTGTAGGTTGAAATGAGGGGACTCAGTGGAGAGGATAGAAACTACCATGCATTGCACAGTCACTGATCTAGGCAGGCATTTTCGTGCATTCCCAGTAGCCTGCTCCGGCAGTGGAGCCAATGAAATTTCAGCTTTAGACGTTGCTCTTGACATTTTGAGCAAATGTAGCTAAACTTTTTTGATTAGTGAGAGAATAGATAGCAGGTGTCAGAAACTGTACAGCCGGTGCCTGGTGCATAAGAAGCCAAAAACTCTCAGAGAACGTGATGCAGAATGAAAGCCGCCACTTGCATTCTTTGATTTGCAGACCCTAAAGCAAGGCAACATATGTTCAAGCCCATTATGCGCAAGGAGATATTTGTTTCATATGTTCAACTGTTTTGAGATGCAAACAAAATAGAACAGAAAGATTCACAGGCCTTCCTCCCACGCTAACCAGTTGTCTACACAGCACGGTCCAGGGCCTCTGGGGCTGTCAGCAGCCAGCCCTTGACAGACCTGCATTAGGAGGCTCAGAGTCTCCTCCATGTGGTCTGGAAAAGCAGAGATGAAGAAAGCTGACCTTTCAGCCTTGCATAATCTGGATGTCACCACTGCAGGGAAATCCGCTTTGGGAGCCAATGCTAACTCCTACCCCTTGCTTTTCGGGAAGCAGCATGATAAAGTAATCATAACTAATGTTTGCCCAGGGTTGGACAGTTAACAAAATACTTTCTAACCTTCCTTTACTCCGAAGCAGCCCTAGTGGGAAGTCATTATTATCACCAAATGGATAAAGAAACTGAAACCTTACATGACCTCCCCAAAATAAGTCAGATAAATGAAGTCAAAGCTTGGACTTGAACCTAGTTCTTTCGACCCAGGACCCAGCACTCTCCCCATTGCCCCCCACCCCCACCTTCCCTCCACCCCAGGCAGCACCGACCAAGAGCTCCCTCCCCTACTGACACTGGTACATTTCCTCCCTTGAAAGTGGGGCTGCCTGGGCCCTGAAAGTGAGAGTTTCAACACTCAGCTTTCCTGTGAATCCATGGGAGACCTGGGCTCATGCCTTCCCTTCTCTCTGCCTCTTAGGCCCTTCCTCCAACAAAGTGCTTTAAAAAATGGTGACCCTGGCAATTGGATTAAAATATTTTGTTTCTTTAGTTGCATCTCACATGTTGCTATTGTAGGGGACTTGGAAAAATTTTAAATAATTTTATTGTTTTCTTTTTATTGAAAAAATAGTACAGGTCCTTCTAAATAGATTTTAATATTTTGCATACACAACAATAAACTTAAAAATACTCATATTCCCACTTCAGTGATAACCATTGTTCACACCCTGCTGATATCCTTCTAGGTGTTTTGCACTTACCTATTTACCTTTTATGTAAATATTGTATGAGAAACTAGATAATATATACATGTGTATATATACATATATAGTTATCTTGTATTTACACACTCAAAAAGTCATGTATATGCATCTGTACACTTGGTACAGAAGGTTGGGGAGAAACAGCTTCCTGATTAGCAAAGATGCAACTATTAGTCCTAAAATGCTCATTCATTTCCCAGCATTGACTTTTTTGGTTATGCAAGACTGTGGCCCCTCTTTCATTCATTCATTCATTCATTCATTCATTCATTCATCTTCTTAGTCATTCAGTCATCAACTGAATGTCAGGCTGTACCATATATAGTTATACATATATAAAATCTTGAATGCTCAAGTGAGTCCTATAACTAGAGATTATAGTCCCAATTTCATCTATGACGAAATTGGAGCTCAGAGAGACTAGTTACCCAAGATTTCATGGCCAGTAAGTAGTAGAATTGGGATTTAAACCCAAATACATCTAACTTCAGGGGTGTGTCTCTAAAGCAGTGCAGTTTGGTACATGCTCTCATGGAAGCGTGTACTGCCAAGAGCTGTGGAGTGAAAGGTACTCCACAGGCTGGGAAGCTTTGAGCTCAGTGGTGGAGGACAAATAAGACCATCGAGTGAGGAGTGATTGGCATGTGCAATGGGATGGAGGCATGGATGGGCACGGCATGCTGCCAGAATGGCATGCCAGAACACAACTGGCACCAAGATGAAGCTAGTCAGGCACATCGGCACCAGATCAAAAAGGGCTCCTCAGCCACCCTGGGAGCAGATGTTTTACCCTGCAGGCACAGTGGAGCAGCGTGGTCACATCTGGGTTTTAGAAAATCAACTTTGTGGAAGATTGCTGAATGGTAACAAGTGGGGGCAGGGAAATCACTGAGGATGCAGTAGCACTAGTCTACATTAGAACATTTAAATTAATTGACCATGGGTAGCAGAATAAATAGAACTTACAAGAGAAGTTGATGAACCAGGTTTGTGATGTTTGAGTTCAAGGTCCTTAGGTCTCACTGCAGGAGAAAGGAGGTCAATCTATTAGATCCCTGGTGTGGTGTATATTGACTATCAGGGCTTTGACCAACCTTGGACATTCTGCCTCTTTATTGCATCAGCCACTTTAAGCGCGTTCTGTGAGTTTTATTGAGTTTTACTCATCCCTTATGCAACTCTTGTAATAGTCCATTATCTTTGATTCCTATAACTAGAAATCAATGATAGGATTTTGATCCTTTTATAAAAACATGCATCGAGAGAAAAAAAACTTGTTTTACTCATTCTTTTTATTTTTTTAAAAAGGATTGTATTTATTTATTTTTAGAGAAGGGGGAATGGAGGGAGAAAGAAAGGGAGAGAAACATTTATCTGTTGTCTCTCATGTGCGCCCCAACCAGGGACTGAACCTGAAACCGGGCCATGCATCCTGACTAGGAATCAAACTGGCCACCTTTCACTTTGCAGGCTGATGCCCAAACAACTAAGCCACATAGGTCATGGCTACTTATTCTATATTAATTAAAAATATTAAAGTTAAAAAAGAAAAAAACTCATATGCCCTCTGCCGGGCAAGACAAGAGTGAAGGCCTGCAAAGGATGGCCCTGGTGGCCTGTGGCCATGAGCTAAGGTGTCCTGGAATTGACACTGGGCCTGGGAGCTCAGAAGAAAAGCCATAGTTAGGTCCATCCCCTTCTTCCGTGACCCATTGGCATCTTTCAGGGCAAAAGAGTTAACCTAACTCTTTGAGGCAAGGGGAAATAAAAAGCAAAATGGAAACTGCTCACAAATAAATCCTACATTTTGGGAGAACGGATAATTCCCTCACTTGGATTTTTTCTTCTTTCTGTTACTAACACTGTTACATTTGACAAGCAGAGAAGAATCAGGAAAAATGACAGGGGCTTTGCTGACACCGCCAACTTCATCAAGACAAAAGGTTTTGTGTCTCAGGGAAGTCCTGGCAAAGACTGGTGGCTCGGGGAGCTATGTGGAGATGGTGGCCAAGTTCATCTTCATTATTAAGTTATATTTTCCAGCCAAGACATCAAGAGTGAGCCACAAGAGTGAAAGAGGGTGCTATTAATGATTATACCAGATCGATGCGTATAATCTAGGGATGTCCCAGGTGAGTCAGACAGCCTAACGGCATCATCCCAAAAGAACTTTCCACAATGATAAAAATACTCTAAATCTGTGTCATCCAATGTGCAACTGTTAGCCACATGTGGCTACTGAGAATTTGAGATGTGGCTAATGAAACTGAGATGAATGTGTAGCTCCCTTTCATTTTTGTTCATCTAAATTTAAGTTTAAATAGTTCCGTGTGTCTAGTGGCTGGTGTATTAGACAGTAGAGCTCTTCAGTCACATTATTCATATGAAAAGACCAGAACCCTGCACCGCAGCAGCTAAGTTCCCAGACAAAGGAAGTGCTGAGAGAGGCCCTCAATAAGAATTCTCTGAAGAACTAAAAACTCCATCATCGTAAGTCACTGTGATGTCTCTTCAGTGGCAGGAATTCAGACCATTTCTCAGAAACTTCCAGAAACTTTGAAAAACACAGTTTTGCCTAGGGATAGCCAAAATCCCAGTGACATTTTCCATCAAATGTTTAAGACTAAGCCCTGGCATTGAGTGTTATGACATGTGGCACCAGGACCAGCAATTGCAAATATTCTTTGCAGCCCGTTCCCAGGGCTTTCCTGGCAGTGTTCCGAAAGCCAGCAGAGTTTCTGTTTGGTCAGAAAATACCTCTCATTAAAAAAAATTGGAGGGGGCCATACCTTGATTAATTTTGTTAACTTTGTTTAAGGTACTGCAGATCCGATCAGTGAGTGTAAATTTCACCCCAATATTACTACATTACTATTACTTATGTTTTAGAAAATAGAAGAATTTATGAGTTTTAAATGAAGCTGAGTTGAAGAAATGATAACTTTCACCTAATTATGAAATTTACATTTTTAACAGAAAAATGATATGTGTTAGAGTCCCCAATGCAGTACTTGCTGGGAAACTTTAATACTATAATCAAATCTTGAAAAGAGCACAACTGGAAAAAACCTTAGGAATCACTGAGTTACCACTTTCCTGTGTTTTAGACCGAGCATGCATGGCCAACGGGGGAAAAGTAGTGACAGAAGGTCAGTGGCGGACACATGCTGGGAACTTGGTCTCTGGGCTGCTGATCAGTTCAATGGTGAGGTACCTGTGTCCATGAGTGTAAGCAGAACCATTTGTGTCTTCCAGGTGGCTCCCTCTGTATCATGCTCTGTGCTTCTCCTTGTTGAAGGCTTTGGCCTACACTGTGGAACTTAACAACATGTTTGGCCAGATCCAGTCGCCTGGCTATCCAGACTCCTACCCGAGTGATTCAAGAGTGACTTGGAATATCACTGTCCCAGAGGGATTTCGGATCAAGCTTTACTTCATGCACTTCAACTTGGAATCCTCCTACCTTTGTGAATATGACTATGTGAAGGTGAGACCCCTGATGTTCTCTAACTGGACCAGGATCTCTACTGGAGAATCTGCTGGGAGTTAGGGAAGCATAGGTGAATTAGACTCTGTGTTTACCCTCCCAGGTGGAGCCCAGTGAGGGAGATACACAAGGTTGCACATGATGAATGAAGGTGTGGGTGGCACGCCAGGTACAGTCTGAGTACATAAACCTAAAAAGGACCACGAAGTAAACTGAGGATGGGAAAGTGTAGCTCAGCCAAACAGCTTCCCCTTTTTACTACTGTTCTCAAAGTCTTTAATGTTTTCACTAATCTCTGCTCCAAGGACACCTTTAATTTAAAAAAAAAGGCATAAAAGAGCAGGGACCCCAGAGTAAACATTAATCAGACTGAAACACATCCATGATTATGTCCAAATCTGAGGCCTCAGAGAGCATTGCCCAGTGCCCTAAGTAACGATCAAGTGTTTGGGAAGTGTCGGGTACGTGGTGGTAGATAGTGAGAGGTGAGATTGGAAGGTTGGATTGGGGAGAGATTCAGAAGAGCCTTGAATGTGATGCTAAGGAGTTTGTATTTTATGAGCAAAGGGTATATAGGCAAGGGAGGGAGGTCACTAACAGAGGTGAAGTTAATAAAAAACATGGAAGAGGGGCAGAAAATAATCAACACATTATCCGGTTCCCATGGTCCTGGGAATTTAGAGAAAACCCAGAAACAAGGCTATGGATGGGAAACTGTTCTTTAAAAGTGGTGCTGAGAAAGGTTGAAGTTCTTTTTTTTTTTTAATGAAAAAATATGGTTGGAGTATTTTTAAGAGATCAAATTAATTAAGGTTGTATCTGATTCATAAAAATGACTACCTACTTTCTATACTTTCTCTGACTTCCTAGAAGAAGTTCTCACCAAACCACACTAGAGTTGACTTTGCATATTGTTATCGTTGTCTCATTTTCCCACAGCCAGAAATTCAGCAAGTTATCCTTGTATTAACCACAATGTTTGATCAACAGCAAAGTAGAGATTTTACAAGGTGCTTTTACACTTATAATCTCATTCAACCTCTAAAACGATCCTATGAGACAGGTACTACTATCTCATTTAACAGGCCAAGAAACAAACCCAAGGAAATGAAGCAACTCACCTGAGGTTGTATGGCTAGAAAGTGGTGAATCACGGTCTAAGCCCATGTCTTATGACTGTCAATCCCATGCTTTGTTGGCTCTACAAGCTGTGCTCCCCTGAGCCCCTGGATACTACAGGGGTTTACAAGGGCCACTAGGGGCAGGGCAGGCCTGGTAAGCAGGGCTGTGAACACCTACCCTGCTTAAACTCATTTTAATTGCTGGATGTTACTTATTATTTATATTGGGTCTGCATCAAAAATCTCACTTGAAATGAGGTTTCTGTGACTTCAAAACCTTCCAAAATTGGTATTCCATGGCAAAGTTTCTCAATTTCAGTGCTATTGACATTTTGAGCCAGATAATTCTTTGCTGAGGAAAGCTGTTTTGAGAATCATATGATTTTTAACATCATTCTTGGCTTCTACTCACGAGATGCCCATAGCACTTTCCCTTCCACTTCTAACAACCAAAAAATGTCTCCAGACATTGACAGCATTCCAGAGAGGCAAAATGTCCCCATCTGAGAGCCTCTGCTCTGTGGGATGCTGCTCCTCTTTGAATGTTCTGTTCTGGGGACTGTGAGAATTTATAGGTACAAAAGGTCTGGCCCCTTACAGAGAGAGATGAGCCCAGAAAAATAGCCATTGCACAAGATGGAAAAGAGTGATGACAATAAAAGACTGAAAAATGGAGTCAACCTCTTGTGTCACAAGGAAAGGGCAAGGGCACTTCTCCAAGTAAGGGTTCATCATCCTAAATTAAAATTTCTGACAAACAAGTCATTTATGTCTTTTAGGAAATAATCTAGCCTCTGCCAGAACCAAACTCCAAGAGAAGAAGGACTATGGGTGGGGACATCAGGTTGGCAGAATCCCCCAGCCCATTTCCCCAACTACAGCTGGTCATAAAACCAAGACATTCTTAAATATTTGGGTTGGAACATAGACTTAACCAGCAGGAAAGTGACCAAATATTGCCTTAATAAGACAGTACATTCCATAGATTTGGACAAGGCCAGATGTGAACTTTCTAACTGCTTTCCCCCTCTACTTTCAAACATGTCAACCACCTAGAAAGTGTGTCAGTGGAAACACTCACTTTTATTGGTAGCTGCAACCTCACGACCATGAAATTACAAATTTTTTTCTTTAGCTATAACAATGGCTTATTTTTGTTATTTTCCCTCTCCACCCCCAGAACTGACTATCATTTCATATGCACTGAGCAGTCATTCCTCACAAGCTTTCCTCTTATTTAGACAGATGCTGGGTTTGATTTTGTTAGGTCTCCTTTATCAAGATGATAAACACACAATAGAGGATTTAACTTATTCCTTTGCCCCAAATAAATGCAGTCTCCTGGCAAAGCAGATTAAAGAGATGACATCAGCTGCATCTGGTAGTGGAAAAAATGACAAGGTACTTTTCAAGGGCATGAACAGAATCTGAAGAACTTTTCTGACACTGAATTAAGGACACTGGAATATATTTCTACCCAAAGCTTGACCTTTTTGACTGGAGACTATTTTGGAAATTGATTGATGTTTTCTAACCATGGAGGTGAAACACCTTCATGAAAGCCCAAGGAGATGGAACTAGACCTTCTGGACAGGGAACATAGTCTTGGGTTTTTGCCTGGGTTTCAGAAATTGCCTGTTCTGGTCCCATGTCTGCCAGTAATTCCCCAATGATTGTGAGTGGACAAGAAAATCTTATAGCACTTTCTCTGCTCCAAAATCAGACTTGTAACCAAAAGAGCAACCAGCAATGCAGAGATTGATTTGCCTACCTAAAGTGCAAGGACTGTAGTGCCTACCTACAATCCTTGTATCTCTGATCCTGATACATTTTTCCAAAATCTTTGGAGGCAGGTAATAACATACTGAGCTGGGAGGGCAAGATGCATTTCTCTTCTTGTACTTGCCCAGCTAACTGCCTTCTAGATGCCATCCCAGCATCAGCATTGGCCTCCCTACAAGGGATCCAGCAACAATGGGGCCTGAGAGGGCCTTCCTTTGCCGGACACTATGCTCTGGTCAGTTCACAAGTAGAGCTCACGTGGAGGTGGGTCTTGTGTCCTTGGCTACACATGCCCCATCAGAGTCCCCTTCCTAGAGTTGAGAACTCACTGAATAGCAGGCTGCCGGGGCCCTCTGGAGACACCTTTAGTCCCATGTTGCTGCTTGTTATTGTTGTTTTTCAAATATTATCTCCCCAGGGGCTCTGAAGTTCACTCTGCTCACTCATCCTTCTGGTCACCCTGAGGGTCACACCTTTCAGGAATTACAGTTAGACTATTGCTTAAGTTCCCGGCGGACAGAAAAGGAGACTGAAGCTCAGTGTTCAGGAATGAGACTAGCACTCTGGCTTCTGGACTGCTAAACCCAGAACCTTCCACATAGAGTTGAAACTTGTTCATTTTTTCTAATGTCCCCCCACACTTCACCCCCAGAATATATATCTTCCCTGCTACAAATAAGAAGAAAGCTCTTCCCTTTATATCTGCATTATATACGGGTATGCTGCCCCATGCCTGGGTGAGTCAATACTTCTCTCCACATTCCGTTTTTTCATCTGTTCCATGAGGGGAGGAGATGGGATGATTCTTAAAGTCCCTTGAATTCCAGAATTATAATCCTAATCCTCCTTGCCAGAATTTTCCAGATGACCCCACCAAACTCCCATTTTCCTAGTTAGGATAAGGCCAGAAACTGACAGTAATATGTCACAACGGCCACTTCCCACAGTTCCATGGCCGTCAGCACTCCAATAAGAGCCTGCAGTCTGCTGGGGGCGCTTTAGTGACAGGCCATTTAAAGAAAATGTGTAAGCACATTGTGCCACTGCTGTCCTTCTCCAAGCAGTTTCAGGTATCACTGATTTCCATTTGATGTGATAATATCCCCTGTTTTGAGGCTTTATCGTACTGTGACTTAATCACCTTGGCAGCTTTAAAGTGGGTTTAAAAAACGCTCTAGTTCACAGGAACCTAGCGCAGCCCCAGCCCACGGACTTTCCTTCCCACCCTGGCCCATCAGGGGTACTGATGACCACACTGCTGACAGTGCACAGCAGTAGCTTAAAGAAGAGCAGGACCCGAGGCTGTGGTCCAGATGCTCTCATTTTATGAAACTTCCTCTGTCTGGCCTGATTTCCCGCAGTCCTTGGTCTTTAAGGTGCATGCACATCTGCACGACAGCTTCTGATTTTTGGAATATGTCTACAGTGTGTGAATTCCTGTAGTGCACAGATGAAGCATACAAATCATAGCTGGTTAATGCTGCAGATGAGGGGCAGAGCACGAATGCTGGCCAGGGAGTCGGTAGGCCTGCATTCTTGTGGCCATTCTCTACTAACTACGTAAACCATGGGCAAGTGACTACTTCTAGAGAAGACTCTGTTTCCTCCTCTCTCAAACACAGGAGGTTGAACACGATGGTCTCTAAGGCCCATCTAGCCCTCATATGTATGCATCTAAGACGACAAAAATCATAGTTCCGCTCTAGCAACATTATGATCAAAAGCCTAGGGAAGCGCATCACATTGGCCAGGGTCACGCTGGCACCAAAATTGGTATCTCAAGATTCTCAGTCTTTTCCTTTAAAAAAATAAATGACAGTGGAGTCCCATTTTGTGGATACTTAGGTTTTTTTTAAATACATTACATTACACTTTATATTAAGGGTAATGTAATATAAGAATAATGAAAAGCAAATATTGTCTATAGTCAAATTTACTCAGTCTCTTAAATATGGTAGAATACTGACTTTTAATATTCCCAGAAGGGACTTTCTCCTCAGAAATGTGACAAATTACATTCTTCTGGTTGAGCATCAGGGGAAGCGGTCCACTTGTGCTGAGACAGGAGCCCTGGAGCTGCAGTTGCTGAAGTGCATT